AGAGCTTATGTTAATTGGTACATACAAAGAGCATGTAACAAATTGCAGTAAACCAGTACCAGGTGTACAGAAAAGTAAGACCTTGATCCGCACTCAGTTGTGTATGGGGATTTTACTCACAATTACAACAGATAAATGAGACATTTTAATGATTTATAATTGACATTTTAGATTGGAGTGTGGCATCTGCAGCTGTGTAATAGTAATGGTTACGTCTGCTGTAAATTTGGCTTTCTCCCTGTTTCACTTCAGAGTCTTGGTCTCTGATCGTCTACATCGCATTGTAATGATAGTTGACTCCAACTACAGCACCGCTAACAAGTTAATTCACTCCAAATGCTGGATGAGGCAGTTTCAGACTGTACCAAGTTTGTCCTATCAGCTCTAGATAATTCTTCAAGACTTTGCAGACATATACTCACAAACATATGCATGTAAATACAAAGACCGAAATATACAATGAACATTAATTATTCTCCGCCAATTTAAATTGCATAGAGTAACTTGTCTCCTGATCTGGTAGCATCAACAAATGGGACCTTTTACAAGGACTTTTGAACTGTTAGTTACTGCGTTGCTCATGAAAGGGATAGGAAGAGCCTCAAAGTTTTCATAGCTGTTTAAATACACAAATCTAACCTTACATCTTTATGAAAAGAGTGAAAATGCAGAGTGTAGCCAAAAGTGACATCTCTGGAGAATAAGCATTTTTAAACGTTTAACTGAGTAGTACACATCTACCATTATGGTGAAACAGAATTAAGTGATATGAAAATACTTTATCCTTCATACCATCCATTATCTCATCTGTCCTCTGGCTTATGTGATGGATAAAATAATTCGAACTGAAATCCAAACAGTAAGACTAGATCTGGAAAAAGGCACAGCGAAGAGTAAGAAGGATGGTCCTTGGGGGTGTCTTTGCAGTAGGTGTTATGGATGCTAAAAGCTTAATGGACTCAAAAAGATATGGGCCAAGTCCATTGAGAGCCATTAAATATGATACCTCCTTTGGTATGGTATGTCCCTCACCCACAGGCAGTGGGAGTCTTGCAAGGCTATTTGCTGAGGATTTGAGTTATGATATCTCCTAGATTTCCTGGTGTTACTTTAGCATAATTCAGAGGCTTTTATTGTTAGTTGCAACTTCAATGTATCTGGAATTTGGGTCTTCATAACTCCTTATTCTGCTCTTTGGGTGAGAAGTCAGCATTAATCCTTTCAACTGAAAATACCTTATTTCTGAGGATGACGATTTTCCTGTGCTCATATATTAACAAAGCTCTGCCTCAATTTTTCATCAGAAGGCAAATTGACTCCTTTAATCTTTCTGTAATTGAAAGTTATGGAAAATGCCACTTGACATGCATGAAATGAGTAGCTAAGTTTTCCAAAAGGAAAGGACTTTTTATACTTTCATCTCTGGTATTAATGCAATCAGAAATATCACTTCATGAATAGAAATTACAATGCATTACTTGAATAGAGTTTAATTGTCTCTAGAATTAAATGGTAAAATTCTTGAGTAGATGCAGTTTCAGGCTGTTGCTTTTAGGAAGTCAGTCTTAGATTAGTGCCAAGGTGTTCTGCTAGATTAAGGGTTCCTGAATTAGGAATGCTTTTGAACTAGTTCAGCATCTGCCCAAACCAAAACATTTCTTCTAGTACTGGTTAGCTGCAGTTTCCAATTTTTAAATCACAGGGCATTAGTCCTAGGTAGATTAGTCTAAAACATTGGGCTTACAATCAAACTGAATAAATGAGAAGGAATTTTTTCATATGTTATGCATTTTAAAGTGAATGAAGGAAATGCAAATCACAGTTGCCTATGCTAATAGGGCCTTTGTGACAGAGCATGGAAATTTCAGCTTTGCTCCTGGGTTCCTAAGTTAGCACAATGCTTGGCTGCTTGAATATGTTCTCTTTGTGAGCAAAAAGAGTGTATCAAGTTGGATTGCAGTGATTCCCAGAGCTCTTTTTTTCTCAAAGTAAAATTGCAAATATTAATCTTTCAGGTTTTTCGAAAAGATTTACAGCAGGAAAATGTTGGCATCAACACCAGATGAATTTATGCCTTCACTCTGAAATCTGGTGACTTGCAAACAACTATTTGCCAATGATACAGTTCAGTTAGATGTAAAATGCATTCATGTGTATTTGAGATTTATTCAAAACGTTCACTCTTAATCAGCTATCATTAGAAGAACACTTTGCATGTATCATATGAATCATTTCTATGAAGGAAACTTAATTCTAAAGCAATAAAATAATTATGAATATGCATTTTAAAAAACTGTTGAGTAAATTTTATTCCTAAACCTCAAGACCTGATGCCTGCAATTGAAAGAAGATGCACAGGGCAGCATACACTGGGACATAGCAGAAATTCAGTCTGGGCAATAAGATCTTTTACTAAATACCTGAGTGTCTTCATTGTTAAGACTTCTTCAATGTAGGAGACTTCCAGAGAGGGAATGGGCATGGATGATAAAAAAACAAACAAACAAACAAAAAAAAAAACCAAACAAAAAAACCCAAACAAAAAACCAAAATCAAACCACAATTGATCTCCTTAGCATAGGCACCTGACATGGTAAGTATTGCTAAAAGTATATTAGTACAGGAGACTAAGTATAAGTAGGTCAGTATAATGGCACTATTATGAAAGACTTTATTTTCCATATGAATATGCTGTTACAGAATTGGACTATGGAAACTTGGGATCTTTTAAAATTCGAGGTAATGATCCCAGCCTTTCTGAATGACTATAACCCTTCTCCATTTTAATTTCTCCAAAATATACTTTTATTGAAATTAAAAGGAAAAATTTCAATTACTGAAGAATTATAAAAGATGATACCTAGAGAGATTATTTTAAAGGATGCATGAAGAAGTTGTGTAAAATAATCTTCTTTGGTTACTTAGGACGTTTGTTTATTTTAGTTAGCATAAAGTGGTATTATTACAGAACACCACCGAAGAAAAGTGCCTGTGGGCCTTAACCTGCAAAGACTTAATGCGTGTGCTTTTATCTAACCATCCCTAGGGCCACATTGCAGAAACTGAGATTATGATACATTTTTAAAAGATAGAGGGAAAAATAAAATAAGTAGTACAGTTTGAAAAATGATGGTTCCCATGTTTAGTGTGTCTATTCCGACAGAGATGTTAAGGATGACAGGAGTCAAACTTGACTATCAATAGAGCTCAAAGCCTAATCACGAATTTCAGATATGACAAACACAACAGCATTCACAGAAGAGGAAAAAGGTTTGCCCAAAGATTGTTCTACAATACCATATCCAGTCTCGAATGCTCATGCAGTTTTTATTATCTGCTGAATTTTGATGGCTAAAAAGCATCTTAAGAAGAATCTAATGCAAACTTGTCAGCATAAACAAAAAAGCCAGAATAATTCCTTTCCCAGAAGAGACATTTCCAAGAAGTTCCAAGTCAGAATTATTTTTGTAACTTATCAAAATGTCTTTTTGCACCTGAATGCTACACACAAAAACAATTTCCCTGTGTTTTAAAATATCTTTTTTTCTGAATAGGCCTTTTTAGATTTCCATGGGTAAGTTTCTTAAGTCCCTCTGCTGATATGTATAATGAGCTCGCTAAGAACAGACAGTGGAAAAGGTCTTTATAGAAAAGCTTGTGTGACTCTATAAAAAGTGTACTTAAAGCCCAGTTACTTCAACCTTACTTTAAAAAAAAAAAAAAGCAACTTTTAAAACATCATTTAACCTTAATCTTGATATAATTTTTGTTCAGAAGTGTTTGTGGGATATTTCCCTGTTTCCACTATGTTTCTAAAATTGGATTTCAGTTTTTTATTTTCCTAAAATTGTGTTCATGTTGTTAAACAAGTTCATTCTCATTTATTTCTTTATGAATTAATGTAAAATGTCTGACTGCATCCAACTGTAGTATTTCGGGAAAAAAATAGTGAAATTCCATGTTACAGAAAATAATAATATTGCTTGTACTGTTGAGATACGTATTACTGTTTCTTTTCTCAAAGGATCATTCATATAGCTAGGATATATATGAGCTAAAAATCCTAATACTTCAATATACTTTGTAAGCATAATTTTAATTAGTGAGATCTGAAATTTAGTTCATTTTAGGTATTAAAGAACGGAACTGTTGCAGTGCTCCGTTTGTTTGATAATATTTTTGATGTGAATACAATGTTCACTCAGTATTTTGTTTTAGAGTATGTATTAGAAATGCAAAGTGAGTGTGTCCAGTGCCTTCTTTCTTGTTTTGTTCTCCTTTGAATACTGAAGGAATGCATAGAATACTATCTCACCTGAATGATTAAATTCTCTTTTTCTCTGACTCTTCGTTGCTATTACTATAGTGATCTACTCTATAAGATCATCTTATTTCTTGCAGATGAATGATGCTATGGGATTTGAATTGCCATGGGTGTATTTTGTCAGTCTCGTCATCTTTGGGTCATTTTTCGTACTAAATCTTGTTCTTGGTGTATTGAGCGGGTAAGCATACACCTTTTTCATCATGAAGGCAGAGTCCTGAATTCAGTTGCCATGAACACACAGGTTATCTTATACAGGTGAGGCTTCAGTTGTGATGACATCTTTTAATAAAGCTGTATTCCTTCCTCCTCTAATTAGAAACAAACAGTTTTCTGTAGCTATCATATAAATAACATGCAAATACCAAAATCGGAGCTTAGACATACCAGTATATATTCTTCATGTCCATACTTGTGGCAAAATTATTAAAAGGGCTAATAATTTTCCTGCACTTATTTAAAGCTTATTTTAATTCATCTTGTAAGGCATCACATCTACAACATAATTTGGGTAAGTAAAGAAATTAAACAAATGTTCATTGATTTATTATTTTTTTAAAGAATTGAGTAAGTTATAAACTTTAAGTGTTGAAACCTACGTGATCTGGCAGCTGCAAAAAGGACTCTGCTGTTTAATGAATGACTGAATCATAACTTATTTCCTTACATTTTACAGGTAAATGATGCAATAGGATGTGAATGGCCATGGATCTATTTTGTTAGTCTTATCATCCTTGGCTCATTTTTCGTACTTAACCTGGTTCTTGGTGTACTTAGTGGGTAAGCAGTTGAGTTAACATTGTGTATGCTACTGCTACTTGTAAGATGGCCTCTGCATTTACTCAAGCTTCTCAGTGATGGCTTTTTTGCATGCACATGAGACTCTCATGTCATCCTACTAGTGTTTGCTCTTTTGACTGAATTGTGTGATTCTAGTGCCTTTATCTGTCTGACATCATGTTCACCATGCTTGCCAAAAATACTCATTAAATGAAGCACTAATTTCCTTATCCTATAATATCTTATCAGCGGGGAGAAACATTATTTTGCACACAGAGATGGGTGGTGCACCTATATGAATATTCTCCCCTATATTTGTAAACAAGTGTCCTTTTCTGAAAGTCCAACTGTTGCTTTTGCTCAAATACCCATAAAGTAATGGAAGTGTGATTTGTGTTTACCAGTCACATTGCAAATTATTTTTAATGGGTGCTTCAAGATCTGTCTTACAGAAAAAGTATGACTAGGCCACCTCGAGACAAAGCGTTTAGCGCTTCCTGCATTGTAGAGCTGAGTCCTGCTCTTGACAACCTGCACCAGTGAGCTGATATGTTTATCGATAATCAAGTGTCCATTTAATATACTTGTCGGTGGGAGGTTGTCACAGCTTTTTGTTGGTTTCTGTACTCCAGACTCCAGCCAAGAACTAAAGTGGTGTCAGTTTTAGCTGTACAATGGGGTTTAAAACTGTAGTTTATGGCAATAGTTTGCAAGGTTTTCCTCCTGCAAAGCTCGCTTACTGAGGTTACAGCTCCACTCCTTTTGCCATTTCCTGGTTTCTAAGACGCTTGAGCTTGGGAAAGATGGTAAAGATATTTTCTGGTTAATAAATAAAAGATCCTGCTAGCATTTAAATACTAAAAGAAAATTATTATAATTTTATGATTAAAAGCTAATACATACAACAAACGGTATTGTTCTGGCAATCTTAGGCAAGCTGGGAGTCTTTGTGAGCCAACATGAAAATTTGTCTTGTGTAGAAAGCAACCTGAACACCGTAGCTGAAGGTGTCATCAGACTGCTGATTGTACGCTTTAGATTTAAAAGGAATTATAATGCATTGTTACATTCCTGGAAATCAGGCAATGAAACAAAATTTCCAGTTGCTGATATGATAACTATGTTAAAAGAGTGGTTTTATCTGAAAAGAATTTTTACGTGTCTTTTAAAATCATGTCATTTAGATTATGGTTGCGCACAGGAAACAAGGGAAAGCATAGTTTTACCTTACTGTAAGAATCCCTTTACAAAGCAGATGTTTAAAAGGAAAGAGAGAGTGCTAAAAACATTCCTGATTTTTAGACTTAATCCCTTCCTTCCAAGACCTACCCAGTAAAGTCTGATTTTTACAGTCGTATTGGCTTTGTTTTATTCAGGGACAAATGTGTAAATTGTTGCAAAACTAAGGGCCTAGCTTTCACCTCACAGGCACACTGGACAAACAAAATAAGGAGAAGGGCAGATAAATGAGGGTAGTTGTGGTGTAATTTATTTCTTCTTTTGATACTGTTACTCAGCGTTGCCGTGTGACTAGACTTCCCACTGAAGTCATTAGAGGATTATGTTTTCCAAGTTCCTTTCCCTGGCCCTTAAGAAGGTCACAAGCAGCAATTAGTTTTCTTCCTGTTGTGTGAAGGTGTCCTGTGGTAACATTTAACTAAATATTCCCCTTTTGCATGACTTGAATTGTTAATGGTTTCAGATTTTTATGTTTTTAAAGATGTGGGGAAAGTTATGCTGGATTCAGTGGTTTTTTGCACATGTTCATTTCTTCTACTGAAGCCTTGGAAATATAGAGAGACCCTCACAGCTAAGCTTTATGTTTGATTCAATACATTTAAAATACTTTATAAAGTTTGCAACATTATGATACATATCATATTGGTTGGAATATGGAGTTGTTCTTTAGCTGCTGTTAGAATACAGGGGAAGAGGTGTCCCCTTGTCCTTGGGTTCCATTCTGCAGACAAGAAATCACCCCTGATTTCTAGGTATTGCTTGATCTCTAGAGCTCTAACGCTTTTCAGAACCCTTACTGGCTTGCCTTCAATTTCCAGTGAACAGAAATAGCACTGTCAAGTATGATGTGAACTCTCCTTAAATTCAGAAATTCAGTCATTCCCAAATTTATTTTCTGCCATAGTGTCACCTAACTGCAGTGTCCCTTGAGTGCTCGGGGTGCTTGATGAATTGTTTGAATTCATGTGTGCCCTAAGTATGTGAACGAGCCTTCCTAAGTCTCCAGTTTTTTGTTTTCTGTGCTTGAGAAAATGATACTAGTGAATTGAGACATGTGATATATAAATATCACCAATGATTGACATTGAGAGCAGAAGGAGAAAGGAAGAGAAAATATTCCTAAAAGATACCTATCATACCAAACTAATGTTTGGTATGTAAGTGAACAAAACCACCTGGCATACTTGCTTGAAATTCTCACAAGGGCCAGTGTGGAATACTGTTACACTGATTTATTTTGATCACTAAATGCCATTTGTGTATCAATAATAAATATTTTTCACATTTTCTATTTAGACCTATCTGTCTAAACTTTACAGGAAAAATATGATGTAAAATCCTATGTTTGTATTCTTTAGTAGAAAGCTAATATTTTTCTTTCTGAGACAGGCATTGAATATCTAACACATGCATTCTTTGTTTTTGATTTAAGAGTTATTAGCTTTTGAGTTTTATGTTCTTGAAACCATAGCATGAAACTTGGTTTATGATAAATCTACAAAGGTAAATTTACTAAACCAATCAAACTTCAAGAATGCAAAAATTATGCCAATTTACTTGAAAAGCATGGCTTTGCATACAGATTTTGGAAGTGGAATCTGAATGCCTAATACACCTTTTCTGTATGAAAGTGTTACTTCCTGTAATATCAGGTTATGCTGCGTACATTTAAATCTGTTTGCTGTTTTGATCTGTTTGCAGTTTTAAAATATCCATTCATCCTCTCTGCACTCCTTTGTTACTCTGTACCATCTGCCCCTTTGTATTTCTGTAATGCCTCTCTGCACTGCATGCTTGATGTATTTAGACACTGTACAAATGGATATGAATGATGATTTGGGAGATCTTTTGTTTTACATCTAGCTGGTTCTGAAGGTGAGTATTTCCTGGTGATCCATGTCAGTTTTGCCTGCTGAAGGTGACATTCTTAAAAATAGAGTTTGTATTTTTGATAGCAGATGTGTAAATTAATAGAAATTGTGTGTGGAATCTGCATGTGGCAAATATTCTAATTTCTGCATGGAAGCTGACTGTGGAGATTTTTTTTCTAAATATTCCCTTGAATAACAACGATGGAGTGAATTCATAGGCTTGAGGTAATTCAGCTTTTTCAAAATACTCTATTTTTTACTGTGTATTAGATGCTAGTACTATTATTCACATTATTCTCAAAGTGTTATTTTCAGCAGTTAGAAGAGGCCTAGCTGAGAAGCAAAGGTACTGAACAAAATTGGTTCTGTTTTACCTCAAACCAGGACATTGTATCTGGGCTTTAGATTGCCAGGGACGTCAAGGGCAATAAGAAAAGCTTCTGTAGGTATGTTGGTGACAAAAGGAAGACTAGGGAAGATGTGGACCCTCTCCAGAAGGAAAAGGGAGACCTGGTCACCTGGGATATGGAGAAATTTGAGGTACTCAACAACTTTTTTGCCTCGGTCTTCACTGGCAAGTGCTCTAGCCACACCGCCCAAGTCACAGAAGGCAAAGGCAGGGACTGGGAGAATGAGGAACTTTCCACTGTAGGAGAATACCAGGTTTGAGAACATCTAAAGAACCTGGAAGTGCTCAAGTCCATGGCACCTAATGAGATTCATATGTGGGTCCCGACGGAACTGGCAGATGAAGTTGCTAAGCCACTGTCCATCATATTTGAGAAGCTGTCGCAGTCAGGTGAAGTTCCCGCTGACTGGAAAAGGGGGAACATAAGCCCTATTTTTAAAAAGGGAAATAAGGAAGACCTGGAGAACTACAGGCTGGTCAGTCTTACCTCTGTGCCTGGCAAGCTCATGGAGCAGATCCTCCTGGGAACTCTGCTAAGGCACATAGAAAACAAGGAGGTGGTTGGTGACGGCTGTCATGGCTTCACTAAAGGCAAGTCATGTCTGACAAATTTGGTGGCCTTCTATGACAGCTTTACAGTGTTGGTGGATAAGGGGAGAGCAACAGATGTCATCTACCTGGACTTGTGCAAAGCGTTTGACACTGTTCCATACAGCATCCTTGTCTCTAAATTGGAGAGACATGGATTTGAGGGTTGGACCACTTGATGGATAAGGAATTGTCTGGATGGTCACACTTAAAGAGTTGTGGTCAATGGCTTGATGTCCAAGTGGCGACCAGTGATGAGTGCTGTTCCTCAGGGGTCAGTACTGGGATCAGTGCTGTTCAACATCTTTGTTGGCGACATGGACAGCGGGATGGAATGCCCCCTCAGCAAGTTCGCTGACAACACCAAGCTGTGTAGTGCGGTTGACATGCTGGAGGGAAGGGATGCCGTCCAGAGGGACCTGGACGCGATTGAGAGATGGGCCCATGAGAACCTCGTGAAGTTCAACAAGGCCAAGTGCAAGGTCTTGCATGTGTCAGAGCAATCCCAAGCACAAATACAGGCTGGGCAGAGAATTGATTGAGAATAGCCCTGAGGAGTAAGACTTGGGACTGTTGGTTGATGAGAAGCTCAACATGACCCGGCCATGTACATTCACAGCCCAGAAAGCCAATGGCATCCTGGGATGCATCAGAAGAAACGTGGCCAGCAGGTCAAGGGAGGTGATTCTCCCCTTCTGCTCTGCTCTGGTGAGACTGGGGAGGCCTTATAGTGGCCTTCCAGTATCTGAAGCAGGCTTACAAGAAAGCTGGAGAGGGACTTTTTACAAGGGCATGTAGTCGCAGGATGAGGGGTAATGGCGTCAAACTGGAAGAGGGGAGATTTAGATTAGATATTAGGAAGAAATTTTTCACTGAGGGTGGTGAGACACCAG